TGAATGCCATTTCTTTCACCCGGAAAGGCCTTCGTGCTGATATTTGCATGGAATCTTCCTTAGATTTTGGGATTTAGTTAAAATACCAACCTCTAAAAAGAGGTGTTGGTTGACTACTTTTCTTTATGTTCCCATCACCACATCTCCAGGCCATGTACTCTGTATCACACATTTTTCTTTAATAGCATTTACTTTCTGAAATAATCTTAATATGTATGTACTTGTATAGTGTTCATTTCTGCATCTAGGATATAAGTTCAATAGAAGAGAATCTTGGCCTGTCTTGATTCACTACTGTATCAATAAAAGCATGTTGATCAAATGAATGAATTACAAACCTACTAGGCATGTCAGAATATGGAATTGTACACCCACCTCCAGTATTCCTCACTTCTCCTTGGTCTATTTTCTGATTGTAGGAATTCAAGTTACTACAACAACCACAAATAGAGGGTAGAGTTTCCTGATTACCTGCTTATACTAACATGTTGCTATACTGAAGATGCCATTACTGTCATCTTTCCAGATGTTGCAATATTCTTCCCATATCTGGGGGGTATATCGAAAAGAGTAGTAGCAATGCAGATGCAGCATTTTTTAACTATTTCCACCTCCTTGTACATGGTGGCAGAGGGGACAACCTAGAAAGAGAAAGGTCCAAGGGCTGGTGTATGTATTTCTGGGAAATAATAAGGCACATGAAAATTGCTTTTCTGATGTGCAAATGTATCAATAAGTGTAAGCCCATATATGTTTATGCATAATCACGAGCAGGAGCAGGAAGTGAGGATGCAGGTAGCAGTTTAAGAATCCCAAAGGTCTTTCAAAAACTGGGACAGATCCAATCATCGATGCCTACCAAAATAGAACAAGTGACCAAAGTATACTTACTTAGAAGCAAAAGACTGATATGATAATAATAAACCACAAAGACATGCACTAAATGCAAACTAAAGAGTGATTTTTTTAATTGTGCAGGATGTGGAAGAGTGTTCTACATCACTGGGGGAGGGGGTCTATAGTAAAGATTTAGACAATATGTAACTGACTTGCAGCTGACTGATTTTCTTAGGCAGTGACACACATGCCAATGAAGTGTCTGTATTTGAAGGGCTAGATTCCAGAAAAAACTCACATAAGATAGTGCTATGTTTATAAGCATAAACTGGGATACTTGAATATTGCTAAATTATGATGAAATCATTGAAAATGTCATACCAGGGATCCTAAGGAGAAGTATTAACAATTCTGCATTTCTAGTTCATATGGAAATGTTAATTCCACTTAGAAAAGTAAGGTACAGGCATGGTGTTATTATGATTAAGACCTTACAACTGTAGAAATGTGGAATAGTATATTAATATTATAGACATGTTTAGCATAAAATGCAAGCAGTGTTGCTAAATTAGTTGCACATTCCAGGCTGCATCTGGATTTCATGTGAGCCTATTACCTTATAAAGCTAAACAGAAGAATAAACCTTTCATGCTTCTTAGGGTACTCAGACGTTAGCCAGTTTTTGTTTTTCCTGCAACATTTGTCCCTGGAGAGCGCCAGAATCTTCTACAGCCTCTTTTAGAAAGGCAGTATGTTATTTTAAAGTAGTAGTTAAGATCATCTTACTTGGGTGATGATGGCTGTTTCACATGGCTAACAGCCATACTTGCCTCACAAATAACCTGAAAGTATGTTCATTTTTGCCAACCCTCTTGGAAGAATGTATATAGTGGTTTACAGAAAAATAGCTTGTGTAAATTTCAGCCACACGTTTATTTGTTTCCTTCTCTACACTTCCGAGGAAAGAAAGCAGAGAAGTTAATATCAGGATAGATTTAAGGGAGTGACCATTAGGATGAGATACATTATCCAATGTATATTGACTGTTGGATTTATTAGAAAACAAAAGATCATAGAGGACAAAAAACCAGAAGGATTCTATCAAGAATTGAAAAGAGGAAGAACTCTGAGAAAGTATAATATTGAAATGGAAGTAGATGGTGCACCCTCAAATACTTTTATTATTTTGTAAATGGTGAGGTAAGCCTCTGAGTAAGCCTGAGCATTTAATCACTCTTCCGTTCTTATAGATATCAAGTACAGAGTACTCCCTCTGGGCCAAGGGCTGGGTTAAAGAGCTGTACTTGAAGTACTCCCTGGATGTAAATAATAAATCTTAAATAAATGCAACAAACTTCGTAATTTTGAAATTGTTGAGACAGATTCAGTCTAATTGATTAGAAATAATTTCTAAACAGCCTAAATTAGAGAATTTTTAAAATACAGCCTTTTTAAAAAACTGCGTCTTACTTTCAGTTGTCATAGTAAGTCAACCTAGTTTAACAAAAGTTGCCAAGAAATGGACTTTATTTAATAAAGATTTTTTAAAAACCTTTAATTACATTATATGATTTTTATACACATATATGCTTGTAATTTTTTTCTCATTAGGTAGGTTAGGCAATTCTATAATTCTGATTACAATCCAGATTTACTTTAATATATCCTTTTCTCATAGTGAATGTAGAGGCAAATTCCAGATTTGATTGATTTACTACAAATTCCACATTCCTACTACTTTGATATTAATTACTTTGGATTTCAGTATGTTAAGCATATGTTTTCTCCAAGCACCACCAGGCAAGTTCTTCTGGTATTATGAGGTTAGCAGTATAGGTATTAGCTAACAATCATGTATAAACATCTTCTGTTTATAATACGCTACCACCCACCATACTTTCTCCTTGTCCTGAAAAAAACCTTTTCTTTCTTCATACAAAATCTAGTTGACTGACACAGGAGAATACTCATACTCTTTCAATGTCTAATCCTTCCCCTCAGAGTATCTCTGCTCTTACTGGGGGTCATACTATTCACCTAGCACCAGCAGTGGAAACAGATAATTCTCATAGCTACCAGTCCCTTTTATCTCTCTTTGCTTCCACTTGACATGGAAGAAGCACCAAACCAAAGGATATATGTTAATAGAAGCCTTTTTCTAAGCTAACTCTTCATTCCTAAGTGCTTAGAATTAGCCTGACAAAGAAGGTCAAGTCTGTTGGTGGTGTGGGGAAAGGGAGGGTGCTTCTCTGCAATAGAGGCAGAAAGTTATGTAATCCTTGCATCTTTGATCTTTGTGGGGGTTTTGTTTGTTTGTTTGTTTTTGTTTTTGTTTTTTGGCACTTGAAGCTCATTTTCCCATCGATACTGGGATTCACAGGATTATGAGTTCTGTAGTCAACTATCCACTTGGCCTAACCATTTCTCCTGTGGCAAAATGGATTCTAAGTTTTAAACAGCTGACTTATAACTTAGTGGTCGATCATTGGTTTATTAACTGAGCACTGCTTATAATCCCTGACATAGGACACCTTGATTTATATAAAATGAATGCACAGTACACATAAAATTAATTGAACTCCATCAATTATGAATTTGTGACAATTCAGATTCCAGTCCTCAGTTTTTTCTTAAAAGCAAAAGAGGTCCTCCTTTTTTTCCTCACGTAATCTGTAAGAGTTTATCTATCTTTTAAACTGATAACACGCAGCGGAAAAAGTGCTTTGAGTATTCTGAGGGCAAGCCAGTCTCAGCACAGGGTTTCCTTAAGGCTTGTGCTCTGGTAGGGTTTGATAAGGAATCCTAAGCATGTTTCTTTCTTTTTATTTTATTTTTGGCAAATGTCCTAGGCTAAACATTTGCTTACATAAGAGGGATGGGTATAATATCTCTCTATGTGCATATGTATTTTCATATGTATGGAATATTTGTGGAAAGATACATAACAAACTGAAAATATATGTTGCCTCCAAAAAAGAGAAATGGGTTGCCTAAAGATAGGAATAAGAAGAAAACAACAGTTCACTCTATAGCACCTTGTACCATTTGGTTTTTGTACTATATGAACACTTTCATTATTTAAATAAATATAATCAAAAAAGAGAAAAATGAAGTCCTTGGCTGGTACAAACACATTCTTTATCCTCAACATCAGTACTGAGGGAGATGTCCAAGAGTGTGGGGCTCTCACTTGAGTGACTATCAGTGGTCTTTATGGTCCTCATCACTTGCTTGGCTCATGGAATAGAAGGAGTGACAAATGATGGTAACCTGTCTGCCATTAGCTGGAGTACTGCACACAACCTTACTTAGTGTCTCTTTGCAAATGACAAGCTTTGTGATTTACAAATCTCCTTCCTTGCATATGAACATTTTGAGAAGTAAGTGCCAGGAGGAACTTGGGTAGCAATTCAATGTGTCCTTTAAATAGTAATCCTTAATACCATTACTCATGTGTAGGATTGAGTGAGGGTTTCCTGGAGAGTGAAGTTGATTTAGGGATCAGGGATCAGCTGCTGAGGCTGGCACTTGGAAAAAACAAGCCAAGCATTCACACTCCAGACCACTCAATACCAGCATTGTCTCCAATCCATCTTTCATAAGGGGGTTCCAAGAGGGGGAGGGGACGAAGGAAGGAGAGAAAATAAACCATTTTAATCCTGTAAGAGAAAGTGCAGGAAAGAGGAAAGAATGAACAAGATTTGAACACGCAAAGCCAGTTGCCAAGAATGTTTCGTTTGAAATCAACTTTGGCTTTTATTCTTAGACTCCACTGTCACGTTTCTCCTCAGTTTCCTTCTCCCATCTTTCAGGACATTCCCCACCCTCACTCCCCACCTCAATGGTTTCCCATCCTTCTCTGTCCCACTCCCCCCATTTGCAACTCTCTTTCCCACCTCCTTTTTCTTCTTTCCTCACTCCTTTCCCTCTCCTTTCCTGGACTCTTTCTCCTGTTCTCCCCTCTCTCCTGAACAGTACCTCTAAACTCCATTCCCCCTTCTTAAGGAAATCAGCCAGGCCTCAGATGGAGCTGTCGTCCTGACAACCCAAAGGCGCATCAGGCTTTCATTGAGGCTCGCTGCTGCTGAAGGGGGCAGTTGTGCAAAGCGAGGGGCCACGTCGAGGGGAGGGCAGAGGGGATGACGTGGAGGGGTTGTTGATAACCAGCAGGGTCGGGGGTTAGGGGGGAGGTGCTGAGCAGAGAGAGCGCCGGGGACTGGGAGAAACAGGAAAGGGAGGAGGGGGAGAGAGGCTCTGGGTTGCTGCTGCTTCTGCTGCTTCTGCTGCTGCTGCTGCTGCTGTGTGGCTGTTTCTGTACACTCACTGGCAGGCTTGGTGCCGGCTCCCTCGCCCGCCCGCCCGCCAGCCAGCCTGGGAAAGTGGGTTACAGAGCGAAGGAGCTCAGCTCAGACACTGGCAGAGGAGCATCCAGCCACAGAGAGACCAAACAAGAACCCCTTCCTTTGGCTTCCTCTTCAGCTCTTCCACGGGGCTTGCTATTTGCACTCTCTCTTTTGAAATTGTGCTGCTTTTACTTTTCACCCTTCTGCTTGGGTTTTATGAGGGCTTTGTTAAGTCTTAGAGGGAAAAGAGACTGAGCGAGGGAAAGAGAGAGGCAAAGTGGAAAGGACCATAAACTGGCAAAGCCCGCTCTGCGCTCGCTGTGGATGAAAGCCCCGTGTTGGTGAAGCCTCTCCTCGCGAGCAGCGCGCACCCCTCCAGAGCACCCCGCGGACCCGCACCTCGGCGTGGCCACCATGGTCGGGAGAGTTCAGCCGGATCGGAAACAGTTGCCGCTGGTCCTACTGAGATTGCTCTGCCTTCTTCCCACAGGACTGCCTGTTCGCAGCGTGGATTTTAACCGAGGCACGGACAACATCACCGTGAGGCAGGGGGACACAGCCATCCTCAGGTAGGGCTTTCGGGCAACTTTTCTGCTGCGCACGTCTACGTGTGTGTGTGTGTGTGTGTGTGCGTGTGTGTATGTGTGTGTGTGCGCGCGCGCCTGATCTCCTTGAACTCCGTGTGTGTGTGTGTGTGTGTGTGTGTGTGTATGTGTGTGTGTGTGTGCGCGCGCCTGATCTCCTTGAACTCCGGCTCCTGATGGTGCAGGTTTGTGGGGGGTGTGTGTGTGGTGTGTGTGTGTGTATGTGTGTGTGTCCCCGTTTTACTGACTGGTTGGCATTATAGCTAACCAAATTCAAGGGAATTCTGGTCCCTGTCAAGCAGCAGTGGTGTTGGTTAAGTGTTGTTCGGTTCTTAGGACCTTGTTTCTCTTACCAAGGAAGCCTAACTTCACCCATGACATTAGTGGCTTCTGGGCAGTATTCTTGCTATTGTTATTGCTGTTGCATTGCACTTGAGAGTTTTGTTGGGATTCCTTAATTCTGAAGAAAGGTTGTTGGATTATGGCTCTCAGAGAGTAGTACACAGTACTGCATTCTCCTTGCTCCTCCCGTGTGTGTGTGTGTGTGTGTGTGTGTGCATGCCAACACACACACACACACATCAAGGCTGTGTGTGAGGGTTTCTGATAGAAGACTTTCTGTACGGATCTTCTAATTGACATGGAGGGCAATAAATCAATCTTAGAACTTTGGTTGGTTACTGAGCCTTTTCTGGAATGTGGATATAAATCAACACAAGATATGAGGAGCAGAAAGAAAAGGAACTTGCCAAACTGCTGATATTTAGAGTAGGAGTGTTAAACACAGAGGTTGGGAAAGAATTAACCTGGCATACAATGGAGATTTCAAATTGATTATTGACTTCAAAGTGTTTTTTCTGTGCAGCTCTGCCAAACTCTAAAATAATTTGAGATTGAAATTTGGAAAGGAAGAGTCCCAGGTCCTTGGGAGTTTGACCCCTATCAGGTACTGGGAGCTAGAGAGACTCAAGTGAGACCTAGTCATATTTTTATTTCTAAAATGCTCCAAGGTTATTTTTTGTGCTTCTCTTCTCTCTTCCTCCTCTCTACCAACTGTACCTACCCCTTATTCTTTTTTCTAGCTTTCCTTGAATTTCTGGCAGATGCTAACAAAAAGAAAGAAAGAACCACTCTCCTTGGAGATCTTTTAAAATCTCATTTCCTCCAAATAAAATGACCCAGTGTCAGTCTGTCTATCTAGCTAATATTGCTTGTTGTGGCAATAAAAACACAGTATACGATAGAAAATAAACCTCTAATCTGTGTGCAAGGAGCTGATAGTGCATAAACCCTGGGGCATCAGGGAGCAGTTCTCTAGCAGAGCTGCCGACAGCAGCAAAGTTTTCTTTCTTTTTCTCAGAAATAAATTTGGTTGGCTGTCACAGTGTCCTGCTTTGGGAGCTCTAGCCTTGTTAGAGAGGAAAGTGTGCGTTGTGTGCCGTGCATTGCGTGTGTGTGTGTTTTGTGGGTATGTGTTTCTCCAGATTGTAAAAAGTGAGAAAATGCTAATGTGTAAGCACTCCTTTCTTCATTTCCTGAGCATTGGTGATTATGAATCCCAAAGATCCTACTATCCAAAGCAGATTTTCCCTTCTAGCTCTTCAGCCTTATAAACCTGCATGTGTGATTTATCCACATGGAGTAGTAAGATTTATAGAGTAAGTTATCTGTTTGCAAAGGGATTCGGACATGGTGCAGAAAATGTTTTTGCAAACACAAAAGCATGCCATTTCGATTGCTAACATTCATAATCCATAACATCATTAACCCTTTAATGGTGAAGCACTCTATATGAATGTATGCTATCCCTAGAAATTTTGTTCACTGGTTACAAGATTGAATATGAGAAAAATGAATAACTTGAATGTATACGTTTTTTATTTCAGTGTCCTTGAGCTTTGTAAGGTCTTTCTAAGTTAGCATCTCCTATACCTTAAACTATAGTTGTCTAAGAGTTAGATAAGTATAGAAATGTTAATTCAGAAGAATAAAAATATTCTTATACTTTTGTACAGAGGCAATCTCACCGTATACATATCTATGGGTGATACATATGTGCTTTTGTATGTCTATGGTGCAATAGAAACAGAGTTTTAAATGTTACACTTTAGCAGACATTACAGTGTGGAAATAGGGACTATGAGAGAAAAAATAAACACAGAACCACTTATTCTCTGGGAAAGAAACGATAGACAAACAGAGCATGCAAATAAGTCGCCTGTGAAACACCATTTCTTTTCCAGACCTCACCTTACATGCCCTCTTTTTTGTTTCCTTGCCTTGGACAAGGGTTTATTTTGGGGTTGGTGGAGCTTCATCCGAATTAACTATGGAGAGAATTCCCTTTGTTTTCTTAGCTGACCTTCTTCTCAATCTCTTTAAATCCAGTAAGCTTTGTGGGTCAGTTTCCTGGTGAAGAATGGGGCTCTTGCTTTCTGTTTGTAAGGCCAGACAGGGAAAGGCGTGTTTTCACTTTATTTGTGACATTTTACTGGGTGCATGAGCTTTCAGGGGAGGAAAGGAAGGAGACCTCGATTCATTGGAAGCCACAGTAGATGTTTGGCACTGAGAAAGTGAAATGGCTAGGAGAAAAAAAATAATTCTCTTAGTGAGTCTGTGGCCCTGAATAATCTGAGACGGCAACAGGAGACAAGGGAGGTTTGTAATTCTGGTGATCCAGTGACAGGAGTTCAGCTGTCTGTCCCCAAAACACTTACCTTCACTGACTTAAAGTTTTCTGTGAAACAAGAGTTTCTTTTGGAGATTGATGCTCATTTTTATATAATTATGATCTTTAGTGTAATTATGCATCAGATAGGAGAGTGCACACTAGTCTTCAGGTCTTGCCCTGCAATTTCTATCATTTTGAAAATAATAAAAACGATATAATTATGGTGACAAAACTGGAGGGAAAGAGAGATAGCCTCCTGTATATATACCTAACTCAATTATTTTCTAGAGGAGATTACAGATCTGTATGAGAAATTATATAAAGAACTAAAGATAACCACAATACCAACTTCTTCTATCCCAGGGACAAAGAATCAAAGTGTGATTCATAAAGTAGTGGCAGCAGCACAGCAGCCTTGGAGGTCCTCCCTAAATAGAATAACCAGAATCTGCATTTATATTTGTGTGCACAGGAAAGAATGAGACATGCTTATCCACAGGACTTCAGTCATGAAGCTGCCTCAGGTGCTTTACTAAACAGAGTCTACCTGCCTCATTACCAGCTCCCACAGGAGTAAGAGTTCAATTACTGGATAAGTTTCTAATACTGTTTCTTCCCTCTCTACCGTCATACCCATAGAGATTCACCTCCTGCTTAATATTGGCAGGTTGAGACTATGTATTAATAGTTCTCTTACAAGTCAAAGAATAGTGGAAATAGAGGGTATTTCAAACCAACCTTTAAAATTTCATTTTTAGTAGTCCTACTGACCATATTTTCAATGTGAGTGGAAGATTTCTGGAAAGATAATAATAAAATATTTGACCACAAAGAATCATGCTAGTTTCATAATACATTATATTGTCACATATCTATTCATAAGGCAACTTTGTAAGACACATACACATGTGTGTCTTACAAATGTGTATATAAAACAAGTGGACATGTGATAAAATACAGGGACTTCACACTTGTGATTTTAAATATTCTAAATTCAAGGTAATAAAATTTTATTTACTTCGTAATTCTGACCCTATTTGATGTTTACAGGGTATTATAATACTTTTAATGTTAATAACATTGTTCCCAGTTAAATGTCAGCATACCTAGCAAGTATTAAAGATTCCCAAGGAAACTAAGCATCTAAATGCAGAATAGCTAATATTCAGTTTTTTTCAAATTTGGGGTCTTTAATTCCCTGTTTGTTTCTACACCAAGGGGGGAAAAGAAGAAACAACAAAAGAAGATGTGATTCTTTGATAGTAAAATGTGAAGATCTTGTTCAAATTTCTGTTTATCTTCTGTAAGTCATCTGGAATGCCAATATTCACTAAGAAAGTGTCAACACTCAAATTCTTGACACGATACGTGATTTTCTATGACTTACAATTCACTATTTGAAACAAACTGTGGGCATGGGCCTACTGGGTAAGTTTGTGACCATCATGACGTTTTCTTTTTCTGTAGTTAAATCACTAAATGTAATCAAAATTTGATGGTTAGCCTGATACTTTAAGGATCATGCATTGCCGATAAATCCTTTATCAGATATACTTAGTAGATAATGGAGTATAGCATACTATATGTCATCTAGGAATATGGCATATTATATACATTTTGTTAAAGAATATTTATGTACCTGTGAACTTTATCATTTGTTGTCATTTATGGCCTGAGAAACACAGTGGGCAAATCTCGTAAGAAAATGGCAAATTGTGGCCATTTGTTTTTCTGTAAGTATGGGACATATAAGTGCGTCTATACACACATGCAATACACAAGAGATTTTTATTTTATGTGGTTTGACTTGGAATGACATATCTGTATAATTGTGGAAAGAACCAAAGGTGACTAACTCATCCACTAAGTCACTGGTGAGGGTTAAATGTTTGTGTTTCTCAAAGCTGATTCCACATAACAGCAAACTCAGGCCAAAAAGGATTAGTGCTTTTTACTGTGGTCTCTGAGAGTGCCAAATACAAAGGGCTGTGACTCACCTGATAGGAGGTTGCCTGAATATCCTTGTCCCTCTCCCTGTCATCATCTGAGCCTCAGAGATATCCCTTCTCCAGGGCATGATTTAGAGCTTATAGCCATTGGCCCTGTTTTTCTCTAATGTCCTGCCTGTTAGTTTGTACGACTCAGAAGATCTGGGCTCTGAATTTGGATCTATACTTGCATGCTATAACTTTAAGCAAGTCTCTTGAATACTTTGAGCTTCAGTTTGATTTACAAAATGCTAAAACTATCGGCTGGGTGCGGTGGCTCTCGCCTGTAATCCCAGCACTTAGGGAGGCTGAGGCCAGGGAATCAC